TTTTTGTGGAAACGGTGATACATTTTATTTTTCAGGATTCTTTGATGAACAGAAAGAAAGAACAACATTTATGTGAAATAAAATTTGTTTTTTAACATTAAAAATGTCTTTACTGTCACGTTTGATCATTTTAATGTGTCCTTGATGAATAAATGTATTAATTTCTTTCTAATTTCCCTAAACTTTTTAATGGTAGTGTAAATCATTTAGTTTAAAATATTTTTAAGCTAAATATTTTTAAAACACTTTTTAACTATAAAATTAAATAATTGTTCTATACATTTTTTTAATGCAGTTAAAAATTCAATTTTATTAAAAAGTAACTATTCCACATATATATTAGTTTGTGCTTATATATGTGACTCATGAACGAGTGAGTGACCATTAATAGAGTTGATGTGATGTAGAGCGTTTTTTAGTTCAGTCACTTATGAGTTTCCATGTCTGCCATGTCTGTGTCTGAGAAGGTAGCTGCCTATGTAGACAGCAGTCCGGTTTTGCAACAGGTTTGAGGTGCTTGAGGTGCTGTCACAGGTGATTCTGCTGTGATGTCAGGTTTGTTTCTGTACCCTGGTGACGTGACTCCTCATTTCAGCGCGCTGTATCTCCCACGCCGCTCTCTCGTTGGCTAACGTCTGCTGCAGCTGCCAGCGCCGCTGCGCCTCCTCGCGGAGCTCCGCCCTGAACTCCTCCAGCAGGGAGCGCAGCGCGTGCAGCACACGCCGACTGTCCCCTGCCTGCACACATAGAGGACAGTGTTATTGCTCAGAGATTGCTCTGTTGTAGCTTAATGGAGTTCTCAGTTTAAGTATCAACTTCGTCTCAGATGTTTCTCCTGCTATTCTTTAGGAAAACGACACAAATGAGTCACTAGTTTTTATCTAGTAAGAGTGTAGTGCTATAAAATGAATGTGAACAGCAGCTCAGATCATTAATGAGAAATGTTTACGTTTACATTGAGATCTCTGACTTCTGATCGCAGACTTTTGTATCTTGAGCAGATCTTTTCTGAAACCCTACTCTCCCACATGTGAGTAAAAATCAGTGTTGGCTAGTATATGTCAACTAGTATACTAATTCTAACAATGCCAGAGAATGCACTATGGTTTAGCACGATTATCAAAGACTGTGTTGCAGTCATATAAATATATAATTTGACGTGCTGTGTGCGGCTCCACATGAACTCTATCTCTGCAAGTGCTGTGAGTTTGACTCACTTATAATGTGCATTTGTAAATGCAAAAAAAAAGCAAACAAATTAACCATAAATATCTGTATTGTAATTGTACTGTTGTTATATAAAATAATAATAATTAACATTTGTGCTGAGAAAGATATGAGAAGCAGGACTTTGTCATCTATTTAGTCTGTCTAGTCTCTGTTGATCTTATATAGGAGAAATAAGTGATATTTTGCAAAGATCTCATCTGTGATTTTTTTTTTCTGCATGTGAGGGACCATAAAATGCATTTCTAAGAGAGAACTGATTAGTTGTGGGTTTGTATTATTAATTAGGTAGAAGTGGGAGAGAGTTAATCATGACACAATAACTCAGTCTCTCTTAGTCAGCGCCTCTCTTAAGCGGCTTTAATTAAAGAAACAGTTCTGTCATTATTTATTAACGCTCGTCATTTCAAAGGCATCCTTTTCAAACTAAAAGTGAGCATAAATGAGATTTGTGATCAAAGAAGAACATTTATAAAATCTGAGACACATAATATCAAATCTCCTTTAAAGGGATA